ACATTTGGCATCTATATGATAGGAGGCAGTGGTATGAGTTAGAGCAGCATACCCAATTTGCATTTCAAAGAGACAGGATGCAGGAAAGGATTCATAATTGCAAAGGTTCCCAAGTAATTGTAGTAAGAAGAAGTTCTGAGGCCTAGCATCCTGTTATCAGATTTTAACTGGAACAGACAGTAAATTCTCTAGGCAGCACTGAGCTTTCTCGGGTATTTTAACTGAGTCTGGGATCATCATAAGGATCTGTTAGAAACTATCCTGATGTTTGTTCCAATCTCAGTGTTTCTAGACGCAAGCAAAATCATTTGTGCTGAGAGTCTGTCGTTTTCATAAGCCAAGGTTGAGGCCTAGTTGAGAAAGGGGAACCTGACCTAGAGTTTGGTCAAAGAGAGAGTCTTTGTCAAGACAGGACTCTAGATTTAAGATGTCCAATGATTATGCGAGAAACACGCCTTCATCTCAGTGACTCTAAAGTATCTGCTTGGACCTACAGAAGACAGCAATGGTGAAAAAAATCTTAGGGCAAGTGGTAAAGTTGGAAAATATTTCTAGCATTTGAACTTCCCGGTGGGCACCAGCTCCTTCTTCCAGATGTGCCCTCCCCACACACAGTCTTGCCCTAAATATATGTTCTAAACACACATTTAAGTTCATTCCCACTTTAGTTTAAGGTATTTCCATTCCTTCCTACACATTCCCACCTCTCAGCCTACAAAACATCCTCAGTTGCATTAGAAGTGAAGAATACTTTAGAGGTGCTATTGTCACTCCTTCATCTCTGCTTTCTCCCTGCAAATCAGGAGGGTGAAGAAGATTTAACTCTTGCATCCCTATATCTCTCACATTGAACAAGATTTTAAGCTGGGTGGCATTGGGCTGCAATAACCTATTTCACTAAAATGTGAGAGAATCAGAGTATGCTGGTGCAGGACAGAACATTGGAGAACATTTGTTAATGAACCCTTGATTTGTTTTAGGCAAGAAAACTAAACCTTGTGGTGAGTTAATGATAGCAAGAATAGAATCCACTTCTTTCAACTGCCACTCTTCCCATTTCCCTTAAGATTATTTGCTCCAGGCACTGGAAAGAAAGAGTCCATGGACATAAAGACAGATAATTGTTTTACATTCAAAATGTAAAAAATACACACTTGTATTTATGAGACAATTAGAAATTTAAATACTGACTAGATGGTTTATGAAATTAACTAATTATAGCTAACTTAGGTGGGGAAAAGGAGTCTATTCCATTCAATATTTACTCTCCGGTGTCCCTAGAAGTGTTCTGAAAACTCACAGAAATTAGTACTATCTTCTATTTATTCCTCTTTCAGAGCTTTATAAATCTGTAAGGACCCAGCTCATGTCATACCCCTTCCTGGAATCCTTCCCTGTTCATATGAACCCTCCTGAAGTGGGCGATCTTGCCCTGCTCTTGTTTGCCTCCGCTCTTTTTTTAGTACTCATGTAATGCCTCATTCAGAGCTGTCCAATTCAGAAACCATGATCCATATGTGACTACTCACATTAATTAAAATTATGTTAAAAATTCAGCTTATTTCCTCAATTGCTCTATGCATATTTCAAGTGTTTAACAATTGTGTGTGGCTGGTGGCTACCCTATTAGATAATGCATGTTGTAGAACATGTCTAGCACTTGAGAAAGTTCTACTGAACATACTATTGGCTACAGTCGGGGTGTGTGTGTGTTTTCTTTTTCCAGCTAGATTATAAGGTCTTTGAGGGTATAGGATCAACCTCCCTCAAAATATTCCAGTGTGCTTTTTCCAAGATGTCCAGAACAGACTTTTTCCAATACATGTCACCTTGGCATGTGGAACTAAGGTCAATTAAGTCCCTGTGGGAGCAGACATTGTCATCACCTTAAAGAATACGAATTACTTAGATTTAGGAAATAATCTGATTATTAGAGAAACCTATCTGCGTTAAGTTAGTACAAACATCCAGAGGGAAAGTTTTGTCATTTGAAGTCATCCCCTCATTGTATAAGACTCTCCACTCTCTCCCTGATGTCCAGCCACCTACTCCATCCCTTAGCTCAGGATAAAACCCCTGGTTTATACACACACAAAAACTGAAAATTTCATAAAGAAGTCTCAGAACCCATGCCAGTACCCTGGGCTCAGAATGACAGAGAGCTTGGCTAGTGAACCTAGACCTGTTTCAGAGTATCTTTCCAACAATGTGAGCTTCCCAGTGCTCATCTACCTTTGTGATCTCACTCAGGAGGGCTTTGGACTCAGTTACTGAAATGTAATCTCAAAGGAGTCCATTTAGCTGCAAGAACTGAACCATGCTTGATTATATTCAATCCAGTCTTTTCTTCCCTGACATCTTCTATTGTCTTGTAATTATTTTAAGCATAATACTTATGCCCTTGAGAGCAGGGACCCCATTGCTATCATTGTCCTACACATTTAAGGGGTGATTACATGAAGCCAGTAATTGTGCAAGTGCCTCACATGGCGGAGGCCTCAAAATGTCAGTTCCCTCTGGCCTTGTGTCTCCTTAGTACCCAGTCCTGAGCTACACCTCCATTTTCTATTCTTTAAGATTTGCTCATTTTAAAGATGTGGTTAAAAGTCCCTGCCCCCTTTTCTCCATTGAAGTCTCTCCAACTGCCCCCCTGGGAAATGATCCTCTTCTGAACTTCTGCTACTGCACTAAGGATCCCTCTCTGCTCTGCTGGCATGAGCACTGTTCCTTACCTTTCCGCACATTCTCCTTGAGGAATTACACTTCTTTGTGTTGCCAGGGCTTCGCCCATAATAGATCTTCTATAAATATCTAGTGCTTGATTTCTTTGTAAAAATCAACAAATATATTTAATAGTCCATTATACTGAACATACAGGTTTTGGTCACTTTTCACTATAATGGAATATATTTAGGACAACGACTTCCAAAGTGCCTTTTAAAAAATATTCACTTATCTCAAGGCATTTTACAGAGAGTCCAAGATGTTTTGAGTGCTGAGTAAATGTCGAGTGAGCCAAGATCCTAGATAAACCCTATGAAAAAGCAACTCACAATGCTCAGGTCACATTCTAAAAATGTGTGCAACAATGACAGACTTGACAGATGCAACTAATGGCTCTTCTCATGGGGGATGCCCCAGTACTGCTGCTGTGGTGCCACTCATGGGACTAGTACCACACCCTTCACGGTGTGGAGCAGCTCTGCACCGCAGCCTGGAGGCCAGAGGGAGAGGGGGAGGCCTTTTGGGGTGGGGGTAAACCACACTGCTTCCCTGGCCTCCCTGTCCCCTCCGTGTTGGCTCTGTGTTGGGATGAGCAGCATAGTCGGCCACCAAACTCCAATCTCTAGTGTCAGAATGGGACACTGGGTGCTGCGCCAAGGACTAAACTCTGTCCGTGACATCCTGGGCCAAAGGGCTGCTGGGAAGGTACTGGAGCTGGGTGACCACTTTGCGGTGGCGGGGGGGGGGTGGGGGGGGAACCTTTAAAAGAAAGTGTAGCTGGTAAGTTCAAACAGAAGCTGTTTTCATGGGAGCTGCTGCTGTGGAGGGCAGCTGACTTGGCGGCTGGGAGGGCAGTGCACCTTCAGCCCAGGAGGGACACCCCTCCTCAACCTCAGCAGCAGCAGCAACACCAGCAACAGCAGCGGGTCCCGCCGTGGCCTGCCAGCCCTATTGCAGCAACTCTACCTCACACCTCAGCTGGGTAACCAGGCGCGCTCCCTCCTTTCCCCCCCCCCCCCCCCCCCCCCCCGACTTCTTCCTTTCCCTTTACCCCATTGATTAGAATAAATTGTTTTTCTGTTCCTTTTTTGCTGCACCAAATGCCCTTTTGTTTGCATTTCTGGTGGCAGGTGGGCGGACCCAGAACCAGTGAGTGACAGCCTGACCTGGTGACAGTTTTTTAGTTGCTTTGCCTGATGATTAACAGGGTTACTCCAATGCCGTCTGGTTCTCTCCTAAGGGAGGGGAAACAAACCTTTTTTCTTTATTCTTCTTAGGTTCATTGGCTAGTGCTCTGTAAAAGACAAATTTACAAAGCAAACATGCACAGAAGTTTATTAACATGTGCATTGCACATACACATGGGAACACTCAAATAACTCAGAACAGTGACTAGAACTTGGGCGTATATAGCATTTTAACAAAAGAACATTACATCTGTAAAGAAGTGACAAGACAACAGAAAAGGACTTTGAGTTTCTAGGGGCAGCAAGCTGTAGGAAGGTAAAAATCCGTGTATGGAAAAAACTAACAGACGGTAAGGGCTAGTGAGTAAGATATGTATGTCGCTTCCTCTGGGGCCATCTTAGAGCTGATATGCGTCTAGAGGAGTCTCTGGAACTAACTCCTGCCCTTCATGATGGAGCAGAGGAGGTGGATATACCTTTACAAATCTATATCCTGCTTTTAGGCAAACGGAAAGGAGAGAGAGGTTTACTTATATCTGCTTCTTCTCAGTTGCCTTCAGCTCAAAATAATCCTTATGCCAAGGTGGCATATTCTGTGGTGGCAAATTTTGCTAACTACCTTTCACTCTTGAATCAGCAAGCCATACTGATACATTACGTGCTCCGAGGAACTCATTTTCACCCCCTTCTCAAACAGTGGCAACCCTTGTGGACAACTTCTATTTTCTCTAATGTGATAGGACATAACTAGACTGGACAAATCATGACCAGCAGAAAAGCAGCTGTATGACTACATGAGGTCACCATCAGGGCTGCATGTAGAAATCTATGCACCGTGTGATGCTCTTTGGAATTGGTGAGAGTGGAAGGATGAGAATGTGGGATGATCTTTTCCTATTCACTTTGCCACAAGAGGCTCATTCCCAAAGGCTAATGAGTGAGAATTGCTTCTTAATCTATCCTCTACTGATTAATGCACCCATTCATTCAACAGCTATGTATGAAGCATGCACCTATTTTGCTCAGACAAGGAGATAAACCAGTGAACAAAACTGACCAGGTCTGTGTCCTATGGAGAATGTAAATTCTGTGCTTGCTTCAGCAGCATATATACTAAAGTTGGAACGATACGGAGTAGATTAGCATGCCCCTGCATGAAGGTGACAGGCAAATTCATGAAGGCTTCCTTATATATTTTTTTAGATTTATTTATTTATGCATACAAGAGCTGGGGTGGAGGCCAAAGGTGCGGGGGGTGAAATGATTCACCAGAAAGAGTGGGGAACAGAACAGGCGGATCTACTGAAATACATTGCTGAGCGGAGCAACGGGCAAGACAGGAGCAGTCTGCCTCGCCATGTTGGGTCACCTCCCTGTTCGGGGATCAAACTCATGCTGCAGTGGCTGTGGATAGCTTCATAGTGCTGGCATTCAACCCCTTGTGTCAACAGGGAGGCCCCAGTAATGCTCTTTTTTTAAACTTTACCAGGTTTTAATAAAACCAGAATGACTACAATTTTCAGAAAAGGTTGATTAAGCTTTCTGGAGAAGGTTTGACATCTAATCTGTTTCAAAAATTAAATAGAGCCAATTATACGATGAAAGATGAAACTGAACGTTTAGTGGTGAACTTAATCCCGTATATATACGCATTTGATTTTCAAAGACACACATCTGAAACCTATGTGTTACAATGCAATGTTATGTCAATGAAAACCAAAAAAATCTGTGGAATAGACACTTCTGTTATCCACATCTTTCAATTGATAACACTGGTATGTATCAAAGAAATGAAGCTGCCTAAGAACAAAAATATTATTTCCTTCAAATATTGGTTAAGAACATTGGTGATTTAGAAATCTTATTTCAAATATTGAAATAATTTATAAAAATATTTTTATTTTTGTCTTAACTAGCAGTTGACATAAAATTACTACTTTTAAAGACAATTTTGTTCTTTCCCCAACTTTTCCCTTGAATCATGAGTTCATTTGGAGCCAAAGGTGTTCTTCTAAACACAAACCACAAATTGTAAAGAAAAAAAGGCCTATTTCCTGTTTCAACAAACAAAAGATGTAATGTTTGTCTAAAGTGTTTCCCTCAGCTAGCCTCAGATCATGTGACTTCAATGAAATGGCTCAGAAGAGGCAGGTTCCCCCCCTCTAAATCAGTGATCACAGAACACCTGATACTAAGCAGCAAACCAGAGGTTCAGACACAGCTTCACACAAAGGTCCTTCGAAGTGTTCAGATCTTTGTGTCTGGCTATGGCTGTGGTTCCTTCAGCAACAGTGATGTTAGATCAATATTGAAAGCTGCGGTTAGTCTGGATATCATCAAGTGTCTGCTGTAGTTCCTCATCTTCAAATAGCCCTCCAGACTTGGGATCAGAGCCTTGGGCTCCTCAGCAGTCTCTGGGCAAAGGTTGGCCAAACAGGCCAATTCAAACTTACGAAGTTTTTTCTGGAGCAACAAGTCACTAACACTGGCAATGTTCTCTCTGTTTTTGAAACGGCTGAAGCAGGCGTGTAGTTTAAAGTTTTCATGAAGGGCCTCCTTGGTGGCACAGGCGGTTGAGCACAGCACTGTGAAGCTGTCTGCAGCCTCTGCAGTGTGGGTTCCATCCCTGCCGGCCAGGCGAGAATCCCACGTGACGAAGCAGACCTCTCCTGCCTCGCCTGCTGCTCTCTCCTCAGCAGTGTATTTCGTCGGTCTGCCTGTTCTGTTCCCCACTCTGTCTCCAGTGAATCCTCTCACTTCCCACGCATCTGGCCTGTACCCTTGTTCTTGTATAAATAAATCAATCTTAAAAAATTAGTAATAAAGTTTTCGTGAAGACATCATAAAGTTCCTGTTCATCTTCTGCACTCTCATTCTGCTGCTTTCGATGCTCCAGAAGCATATGACCCTGAGAATTTAGAAGAGTCTCAGATGTTTCAAACTCTTTGGAAATGATGAGCTGGGAGGCGTCCTCCTCCACGTCAAGGCCCGCGGGTCACTGCCTTCTAGCGCCATCGCGACACCTTAGCGCAGCTGCCCACTGGCTTCTGTATTTTTCATCCATTATGAAAAAAAGAGAATTTAAATTCTTATGAGACAGATTTATCAATCAATTACTGTATTTCCTTAACTATAAAACATCACCGCTTTCCATCATGAATTTATTTTTTTTTAATTTTTAAACTTTATATATTTTACATCATTTTTCATTTTTGCACAATGTATACATTTTCATCTTGCTATAGTTCCCATACAATTCCCACCACCCTTGCTATGATCCTACTCCCTTCTCCACCCCCGCCCCACCCTCTAGTGTGTCTCTGGTTTATAGTTGCTTGTTGATTTTGATTTTTACTTTATTATTATTGGTCTTTTACCTGGTCCCTTATTTAGGTTTTCTAGATTCCTGCTATGAGTGAGACCATCTGGTACTTTTCTTTTTCTTTCTGGCTTATTTCGCTGAGCATGATCCCTTCCAGCGCCATCCATGTTGCTGCAAATTGCATAAGTTTATCTTTTTTGATTGCTGAGTAATATTCCATGGTATATATGTACCACATCTTCTTGATCCAGTCATCTATTTTTGGGCATTTGGGTTGTTTCCAAAGCTTAGCTATTGTAAACAGTGCTGCTATAAACATAGGGGTGCAGGTGCCCTTTGGAATTAATATTTCTATGTCCTTTGGGCAAATACCTAGCAGTGGAATTGCTGGAGCATGTGGAAGCTCCATTTTTAGCAGATTGAGGAATCTCCACACAGCTCTCCATAGTGGTTGGACCAGTTTGCACTCCCACCAGCAGTGCAAGAGAGTTCCTTTTTTCTCCAAATCCTTGCCAACATTTGTTGTTGCTAGTTTTTTTAATACGTGCCATTCTCACTGGCGTAAGATGGTATCTCATGGTAGTTTTGATTTGCATTTCCCTGAGTACAAGTGATGTTGAACATTTTTTCATATGCCTGTTGGCCATTTGCATTTCCTCTTTGGAGAAGTTTCTTTTTAGCTCATCTGCCCATTTTTTGACTGGGTTGTTTACTTTGTTTTTGTTGAGTCTCTTCAGCTCTTTGTAGATTTTTGTGATCAGTCCTTCATAATGTTGTGTGCAAAAATTTTCTCCCAATCCGTAGGGTGTCTCTTTGTTTTGGTTATTGTCTCTTTTGCTGTACAGAAGCTCTTTAATTTGATGTAGTCCCAGTTGTTTATCTTTGCCTTCACTATCATTTCTTAGGGTGATGTGTCTTTAAAGATGTTACTGAGGTGTATGTCATGTAGTGTTTTGCCCATCCTTCTATATATTTTATGGTTTCAGGTCTTTTTTTTTTTAAATAAATCTAAAGATTTATTTATTTATACAAGCACTGGGTACAGTCAGAAGCACGGGAGCAGAACAGGCAGACTGACGAAGTACACTGCTGAGGGGAGCAGTGGGAGCGACAGGAGAGGTCTGCGCACCATGTGGGACCCTCACTGTCGGCCAGGGATTGAACTGGTGCTGCAGAGGCTGCGGGCAGTGCTCAACTACTGTGTCACCAGGGAGGCCCTGGTTTCAGGTCTTATGTCTAGTTCTTTAATCCATTGTGAGTTGGTGTTTGTGCATGGTGTGAGGTAGTAGTCAAGCTTCATTCTTTTGCATGTAGCGACCCAGTTTTCCCAGCAAAATTTATTGAACAAACTTTCTTTGCTCCATTGCATATTCTTTGTTCCTTTGTCAAATATTAGTTGACTGTAAATCTGTGGTTTGTTTCTGGATTTTCCATTTGGTTCCATTGGTCAGTGTGTCTGTTCTTGTTCCAATACCATGCAGTTTTGATTATTATGGCTTTGTAGTATAGCTTGAAGTCTGGGAGTGTGATAGCTCCATTCCCTTTTTTTTTTTCAGGAGAGCTTTGGCTATTCAGGGTTTTTGGTGGCTCCATATGAATTTCATCAATATTTGTTCTATTTCTTTGAAGAATATCATTGAAATTTATTTTTAAAGATTTATTTATTGGGCCTCCCCAGTGGTGCAGTGGTTGAGTGCTGGGTTGTGAAGCTGCCTGCAGCCTCTGCAGCACCAGTTCGATCCCCGGCCACCGGGTGAGGGTCCCACATGGCACTCAGACCTCTCCTGCCGCCCGCTGCTCCCCTCAGCAGTGTATTTCGTCAGTCTGCCTGTTCCATTCCCCGCTCTGGCTCTGGTGAATTCTCTCACCCTCCTGTGCTTCTGAGTGTACCCAGTGCTTGTATAAATAAATAAATAAATAAATAAATAAATAAATAAATAAATCTTTTAAAAAACGATTTATTTGATTTTTTATTTATTTGATTTTTTTGTTTGTTTGTTTCAGTAATAAAAGGGATGGCTTTCTTGATCCCATCATGAATTTAATAATGGTTTTTCAGGAAGGGAAAGAAACCAAAAATGCTATTCTATTAAATATGCACATTGATTATGTTTTAGCATCAAGAATGCCTTCCAGAAGATCACCAAAGCAGTGTGTTAATACAACAAAACCAGTTTGTTGCTTTCTATTGTAGGGAAGAGCACCATCTTGAGAGCCTTTGTAGTATTTTAAAGGAGTGTAAGGACAAAATTGGGCTTTATTGAACTATAACTTTCTGGTTTTAGGTGGGTCTTTCACGGACAACAGAGGAAGGGCTTGGTTAGCAGTGGATAATAGTTTAGGGTTGGTTCACACAGCAACTGAAGCAAGGGGTGCAAAGAATCTAGATGTGTATATTGTCATTTTATGCTTTATTTTGAAGAATTTTTTTAAAAGATTTGTTTATTTATGCATACAAGAACTCGGGTACAGGTCCGAGGTGTGGGGGAGGGGGGTGAGCGGATTCACCAGAGACAGAGTGGGGAGCAGAACAGGCAGACTGACTAAAATACACTGCTGAGGGGAGCAGCAGGTGAGTCAGGAGAGGTCTGCTGTGCCATGTGGGTAGCTCCGTGGCTGGGGATTGAACTCGTGCTGCAGTGGCTGCGGATAGCTTCATAGGTTGCGTCTTAACCCCTTTTGCCACCAGGGAGGTCCTATTTTGAAGAATTAATGGGTCTTTCAGAACCCATTTCTCTCACTCTCTTTTAAAAGTTCCACTCAATATGGTCACCCAGCTCCAGTCCCTTCCCAGCAGCCCTTTGGCTCAGAATGTCATGGACAGAGTTTAATCCTTAGCACAGTGTCCAGTGCCCCATCTTGACTCTAGAGTA